TCACTGTCAGCAGTGGGGATATTTAAAAGGCACTGCTTTTACATTTTTATTCAGGATCTGCGTGCGCCCTGAACTGTCCTGCTCCCCGCTGGCCGATTCTCTCCCCCCTCCCCTTCTCCTTCCGCCCTGGGCCAGCCCCGCTGTCCCCGCCAGCCGATTCTCTCCCAATCTCTCCTGGCAAGCCCTGCTGCCCCCACCAGCCCTGCTTCCGCCAGCCGGTTCCCCAGCCAGCCCCGCAATCTCCCCCAGCTAACCTCACTGTCCCCTGCCCCCTCCCCCGGCCAAACCTGCTTCCACCGGCCGGTTCCCCTCCCTATCTCTCCTGGGCAGCTCCACTGCCCCAACCCTGCTTCCCTGTGGCCCATATCCAACCCCCCCGCCGCCAGCAATAAGAGCTCACCTGGTAACACTCACTATGCCTCTGCCGGGAGCCTGAAACATACGGCTGCATCCACCCAGCCCGGCTGAGGGTTTGGGGGACCTGGTGCTGCACGGGCAGTCCGGGAGCCCAGGACACCCTGGCAGCCACGCTGAGGCCTGATATTTTTTTTCCCGCGGCCCGGTACTGGGCCACGGCCCATAGTTTGGGAAACGCTGTCTTAAAGCACTCTTAGTACTATGGACTGCCATTCCAAATGCTGAAGAAAGAACCTGGAATTCAAATTTTTAACTTCAAGCTACTAGAAGAATTGTCTCAAGCTTTCTCAAGCTCTCCAATGTTCCCTGTAAGCTTTGATAGAACACTAGAACTGGAAAGAACCTCGAGAGGTCATCAAGTCCAGTCCCTGCCCTCACGGCAGGACCAAGCACCGTCTAGATCATCCCTGGCAGGTGTGTGTCTAACCTGCTCTTAAATATCTCCAGTGATGGAGATTCCACATCCTCCCTAGGCAATTTATTCTAGTGTTTAACCGCCCTGACTGGCAGGAAGTTCAACCTAAACCTCCCTTGCTGTAATTTCATCCCATTGTTTCTTGTCCTATCATCAGAGGTCAAGTTGAACAGTTTTTCTCCCTCCTCCTTGTAACACCCTTTTGTGTACTTGAAAATTGCTAGAAATGGGTTACCTAGGGAGGTGGTGGAATCTCAATCCCTAGAGGTTTTTAAGTCTCAGCTTGACAAATCTCTGGCTGGGTTGATCCTGCTTTGGGCAGGGGGCTGGACTTGATGACCTTCTGAGGTCTCTTCCAGCCCTAGAATTCCATGATTCAAGTCAGAGCACCCACAGCTAGATTTTTTGTTTCTATTGGTGATGCACATTCACACATGCCTCAGTGCACATAAAAATTATTCTGCACATGAATGGAAAAGATTAGAGGGAACACTGGTTCTGTCCCTCCTTTAATTCAAGTAACCAAAGGCAAGCTTAAAAGAAAGACATATAGTGAAAAGTGGTGCATTTAAACTGAGAGTGAATTCAGTCTGAAGATATTGGGGTCCTGTGGGACACTTGAATATTGTCTCCTAGGTCTGTCACACTTTTCAATTGATAATAGTACTTGTGTGGAAAGCTGTCAGCTATTGCAGCAAGAGGCAACTGTACAAAAGCTGAAGATATTAATCAAAGATGAAGTTGTAGAGAACTTAGAAACTTCATAGACAACAAGAAGAAAGGGGGAAGCTTTCTCTTCCCCAAAGTAAAAGTTGCATAACATGTAACTGACCACCCGACCTCACTATCTGTACCACAAAACATAACAATACAATCAGCAACAGCTGACACATACTTGGGGAAAACTCAGAAGAAAGACCACATTTTTAGAGGCATGAAGACTAAAGTACCCTCCTAGCTAGTGTTGGTTCTTCCCTCTCAAGTTGAAACACCCCACTGAGATGTACAGGGAAAAGTAGATGAAGAATGTTGGGGACTTAAGTCCTCTTATTAAAAGAGCAGCTAAACACATATGTAACATGCTAGAACTGTAGCAACAGCTCTGCATTATTGTAGTCTAAGATTTCCCATCCGTGAGCAGACTGAGTTTTGTTTTGTGCACCAACGTTGATGTCATGTGTGCTTGTTGGGCGGTGCACCACTGTGGCACCTAGCAGTTTGTAACTAACTGTATATATATATATACACACACACACTGCTTCCTCCCAGCTGTGGGCCAGAGTTGGTGGTTGCCTGGCTGCTCCTGCATGGGGAAGCTGCTCTACACACACCCCAATCTAGAGTCCTGCACCCCCACACCCGCAACCCCCTGCCATAACACTCCTCTCTCTATATTTATATATATAAGCATGATGGGGGGCTTACACCAGGGGATGTGGGATTCAGGGGGGAACTCAGAATAGGAGGCTGAGAGATCGGGGAGGTGGCAGTTCCTCGCTGAGAGGAGACTGCCCATTCCTCCAGGGTTCCTTGCAGAAGGTGGGCCCAGGAGTGGGCTGCCTGGCCCCCTAGGAAGCTGCTTGCTTCCTGGCCAGCTGGCAGCTCTTTATGAGAGGAAGGGCTAGGGCTGGGCTTCCTGGCTCCCTCAACCGGTGGACGAAGTGGGGGGAGCTGGGGCTGCACTGCCCAGCATTCCCAACCAGGAGCTCCTGGGGTCAGGGAGCCAAGGCTGCTGCCAGGAGGCCTCCTGCCTGGCCAGTCCTGCAGCTGAGAGCTGGAGGATAGGCTTGGGAGCCACGTGACAGCCCTGGAGCTGCTGCCACCGCCATGTGGTGGCTCTGGGGCCACCTGAGCAGCTGCTGCCACCACCCGCTATGTGACGGCTCCAGCTCCATCCCCAGCCACTGTTCTAGCGCCATCCCCAACTGTGACCACGTGAGCTGCTGCTACTGCCCACCATGTGGCAGCTCTGGCCCTGGCCGGGGCTGCCAGAGCAGCCTCTGCCCATCACGCAGCCCCGCTAAGAGGTTGCAGCATCCCGCCTGCCATAGCTGGGACAGCCTCACCGCACCCTGGCTCCAGCCTGACCAAACAGGGACAGGACAGCCACCCACCACTGACACTGACCTTCCGGTCTAGCAGGAAGGTGTGTGTTGCTGCATGGCTCTGCGGGTGAGGCAAACAGGCCTAAAAATGTTTGTGTGCGGCCATGCAGATGCACTGCTTAGAGGGAGAACCCTGTTGTAGTCTCATGTTCTTGACACTTTATTTTCAGAAGCATTATACACAGTTAAAAAGCAGGTTTGGCACTTATTTTGGTAAGGTAATGAAACTACAGGGGTATGGGTGGTGGTGGGGAAGGTGCTGCTGCACCCTGTGACTTGAAGAGGTTTCCATTATATACATGATTTACAATTTGGTTCAATGGTTGTCAGAGCCCCCACAATACCAATTGTTCCATTATTCTTGGATTACTTTTGAAATAATATCAAAAGCAATGGTCTGAATTCTGCTCTTGGATGCTGGGAAAAATTTATTAAACATTAGTTGAAGTTATACTAGTGTAACTCAAAAGAATTCACAAGAGGAAAAATGCATATAACAAATTTGCCTGTGCTTTTTTTCCCTTCTCTCTTTTGCCTTAGGTACTTTTGATGGTTCTATAGATTCCTGTAAAGGTGACTCAGGAGGACCCTTGGTTTGTCTGGATTCAAATAACCGGGCATATGTGTGGGGCATTGTGAGTTGGGGTGAAAATTGCGGAGTTCAAGGATACCCTGGAGTTTACACAAAAGTAGCCAGCTACTTTGAGTGGATTAGTCGTCATGTGGGAAGGTCCCTTATTTCTGTATACAATATCTGAAGCTTTGGGAAGCACATACTCCTTTCTATTGCCTACACACATGAAAATGAAGATTAGTTCTACTTTAGGATCAGCGGCTTTATTACATACATTTGGAATCTCGCAGTGAACTAATTTCAGTATAAAACACTTTCAACAAAAATCATTACATTTATAGAACACTAATAACCTTTTCAAAAATTTGCTAATTTTTAAAAAGGCTCTTAGTGTTCTACAAATTAATTATTTTTATCTCAAGCATTTTATACTGAAATTAGTTCACTGCAAGATTCCCTGATAAATGTATGCTTACTATATGGAAATTAAAACATCTGATATTTGGGGAAAGGGGAATATATATTTCATCTTGTATTTGCATTGGCATGTCTGTTAAAATGGAAAATTATGCTGAAAGCAAGGAATAAAAAACTGAATACATGCAGAGCCTGTTCAAGTCTAGCAGAGAATATGGCGACCTAAACTCTGAAGCATCATAAACCTTGAGGGAATACCAAAACCATCTGCTTATACAGGGAGCAAGTAATCCAGCCAGGATCTGGCTAGGTAATAGTGGCTCATTGACAAAATGCTCTCCTCTCAGATCATCAGCTATGAGCTAGGTAGGGACACAAGGAGCAGAGAGAATCTCACAATCATCTTCCTCCATTAACTCCCCCATGTGGGGATTCGCCTTATGCCATGTAGCAATGGGTCCCTGTCAGATATAAATCACAGCAACGAGTGAGGTTCTAATGTGGGAGCCTTAACACCACCCTCTCCTTCTGGGTGCTGCATAGGGAACTCAGCTGGGAATAGGAGCGGGCTCTTGTGGCTGCCTCCTAGGGACAGGACTGCAGAAGACCCAGCCAGCCCCACTCCCTGAACTGTCATACTGCATCCTTACCTCCCCAATCCTGGCTGTGTTCCTGTATCCCAGGAGCCTGGTGCCAGTCACAGCATCACAGGTCTTCTGCCTCATGGGAGGGAGACACACACACACATTGGTCACTGTGCTGGCAGGGTCTGAGTCCTTCCTACCCCATTGGTGGCTGCACAGTGGGCAGAGTCCTCCCTGCATTCCTGGACCAATAGAACTCCTGGGGGGTGAAGAACAGAGACAGAGAAGAGAAATTAGATGGGGTCCCATTACCCAGGTGCAGTCACTCTCAGTCCATTGGCTCCCATTTCCTAGCTGAGTTTCTTACCCTTCTGGTGCAGCAACAGCTGGTAGAAGTGATAAACATCTCCCCTGGCCTGCTGGCTGATGTCCTTGTCTGGATCACCGATGAACAGACCCATACTAGGGAATTCTGGTGATTCTAGTGGAAGGGAGAGATGGGACTCCATCAGCATTTTTCTCTCACTTCTCAGTCCCCTGCCCCTCGAGGCCAGGAATTTCCTTCCCCACAGTCCCTCTACAGGAGAGGCTGGGGGAAAGAAGCTACAGCCAGACCCTTTATTTTCTAGGTCAAGGGAGCCTCAAGTTGCTCCCGGATGCCAAGAAGGGATCCAGGATCAGGCACACACCTGGTTGGAGCATGGCCTAAGGCAGGCATGTCCAAAGTCCGGCCCGCGGGCCAATTGTGGCCCGTGTTCCGGTTTAATACGGCCCCACAGGTAATTTGGCAATATCTATCTTTTATGGCCCCCAACGAATCCATATGTATTGAGATGAATACATTGTAAAATCTCAGTTAATGTCAGTTGGTCTAAATCAGTTATAAATATATTTGGACACAACATGTATACTTGGTGTTATGTTCCTGTTCATATTTTTTGAACTTAAAAGTTGACAGACAACCTTTATTACCAATAATATGTAATGTACTTTACAATGTTCCTGACATATATTTCAGCTTCCTGGATTTTTTTTTCATCTGGCCTTCAGATATGAAAGGCAGAGTGATTTAACACCTGTTTAGATTTGTCATCCATGTGACGAAATGAAAAGTATGCCGTTTGCAATAAACTTTGCATAAAATAGTTAATTTGCATTTAATTTTAATGGTTCAAAGAATGTCAGGCAAAATGGTCGGCCCTCACGCATGTTCACTTCATCAAAACTGGCCCTCTTTGAAAAAAGTTTGGACACCCCTGGCCTAAGGTCACCACTTCACCAGGAAAAGGAGAACTTGACTCAAGCCAAGCTCATTCCCTGCTCTGACTCTGCCTCCCCAAAGGGAACACTCCTAGTCCACAGCCCCTGCAGCAGTGGATCCTACAGCCCACCAATGCTTGGAGTCAGGAAGCTGGGCTCAGAGGTTACTTACATCAAACTCTGAGAGAATGATGGTGAATCCAGGCAGGTCTGTGTTGCTCCTACTGGCTCTCTCCTGGGAGACCCTAAAATAGCCAGCGCCCACAAGAGCCATCAAAATCCTCCCATCCTTCTCCCATTCCCCCAGTTCCTTCCTGCCCATCACACTTGGCCCCCTCCCAGGAGTCCTGTCAAGTTCATTCCAATTGCTCTCTCTCCTCTTTCTTGTCAAAACTGCCCACATTCAAAACCATCCAAAGCTGGGACTGTCTCATTCCATGTCTCCCAGCCTCAGCTGCCTCTGCAGTCCTTCAACACCCCACTGCTCACTAGTGACCAACTCAGGCTTTCTCCTGTCTTCTTCCCAATTCTGACTCCAACAATCCCTGCCCTCTGCTGCGCCTCCAGCACCACACAGCCCCCCACCTATTGGCATGGGGAAACTCTGCCCATACCAGGTCTCCCTCCAGCTGCCAGGCACTGACTCACGCTCAACACAATTCGCTCCATCAAAGCTGCTTTGCAGCAGGTATGGCTCCAGTGTGTCCTGCCTTCTGTGCTGTGCAGCCAGAAACATGCGGTGGACGGTGTGCAGGAACCTGAGCTTCTGGCCCTGCACACCCCAGGTGCAGGGTTAGGGAAAAGAGAGCTTCTGAAGCAGGGACCTCCCTGCTCCACCCACACCAGCTGCAGACCTCAGGCCTCTATAGTGGGGAACCGCACATTGTCCAAATTGTGCATGACTCCTACACATGCAAGGTCAGGTCCTGGGTAGGGATGTAAGTGACTAGTTGACTACCTGATAAGCATAGGCTTATCAGGTAAAGTCAGTGCTCAACTAGTTGCTTTCCCCCGCCCACTTGCTGCTTCTGTATCAGAGGCAGAAAGGGAGGGAGCAGGAGCCAGGGCTGGGGGGAGCCGGCTTAAAAGCCGTTCCACCCACTGTCTCCATGGTGGGGACAGGGAAGGCAGAGGTGAAGCAGGGAAATGGCGTGACCAGGGATTCAAGCAGTCCCTGCGGGTGCCAAGTCCCAACCGCTGTTCCTCTTCCTTTGAAATGTACTGAGAGCCCACTGGACTCTTGCTACATTTCAAAGGCAGAGGTGCAGCAGGGAACCCGGGGCAAGCAGGGACTCAAGCAGCCCCGACTGCAGCACTTTTGTCTTTGAAATGTAGCGAAAGCCCCCTGCTCACTCCATGTTCCCCGCTGCACCTCTGCCTTTGAAATGCAGCAAGAGCCCCACAGGCACTGGAGCTAGGGATGTTACCAGAGGCTACACCCGGTTTTTTTTCTTTATTAGGAGACTGGGACCAGAATGGACTATTAGAGCATCTAATCTGACCTGCACATCACAGGCTTCCTGTATGGCACAGGAGCTAGTTTTTCACCAAACTCAGTCTAGAAAGACATCTAGTCTTCATTAAATGACATCAAGGGATGGAGAGTCCGCCACTTCCCTTGGGAGTTTGTTCCTGTGGTGAATCATATTGACTGTTGAATATTTGTGCCTTATTTCTAATAGGAATTGGTCTCTTTGCACATTCCAGTCACTGGGTTTTGCCATGCCTCTCTTTGTTGGATTAATGAGCCATTTAATACCTGATGTTTTTTCTCCATTAATGAAGTCATCTCTCGATCTTTTATCAGCTAAACAAATTGAGCTCTTCCACTGACACACTGGAAGACAGTTTTCTTCAGCTCTCAAAACATTTGGTGACTTTGGCTGCCCTGGATCCAATTTCTCAACAACTTTTTCAAAGGTGGGCACTAAAACTGGGTGCACTATTTCAATCTTAGTCCCACAGATGCTGTATCACCTCCCTCTCCTACTCATGGCTCAGTTCATATGGCTAATGATGACTTTAGCCTTCTATACCACAGCAACCCACTGAGAGCTCATGTGAACAGCTTGCCCAATATTGCTCATAAATCCTTGTCAGTCACTTACTTTCTGATACATACTTCCCCAGGCAGTAGGGGTGGCCAACATGCTTTCTTGCTAGGTACAGGCATGCGAAATTCAGGAGGACAGCACCTTCTCTGCCAATGGCCAGTGATTCTGGGATGCTTTCCCAGGCTACAAGCAGATATTTGCCCCTGTCTGAGGCATGTCTGGATCCAGGGGCCCAAGACCATGGTACACCAGCAAACACAGCTTGAATCTAGAGGGGCAGATGAATGGAACCTATCTGAAAAATCTCTAGGGAGGCCCTTGCCTGGATAGGATTTTCTGAGGTCTGGAAAGCCTAGAAGAGATGTGAAGAGTCATGAACAAACGTGTCTTTCTATCCAGGCACTTGTGTTACCCACACACCTTATCAGTGTGGTATACTGTTCAAATCTAGTGGCACCAAGACCATTTACAGAGAGAACAATGAGCCTGGTCTACAATCTTAGCTTATAGCCAGCTGGCTCATGAAGTGGTTAGACAACAGGCCAGAAGAATCACTCTCTCTCTTTGTCCCTGAGAAACTTGAGCTGTACCCTGTGCACACGTGGGAACCACGAAAAGGCATATAGGAAGTGGTCTTCCCTGGATATCAAGCCCAGATTGTGCTTCAAACAGAACACAGGACATTTTCTGTTGCTCCTGGTGGCCAACAGGTCCATCTGGTCAAATCCCCATCTTTGGGGGATGGAATATACAACATCTGGACAGAGGGACAGACTCATCAGCATCCCTGTGTCTAACTGCTTGGCATCATGAACTCCACGGTCACTTGGAGCCGTTTGCTTTCCTGCCCTTTGTGCCCCTTGTCAGTAGCTACTCCTGGGGCCAGG